AGATGTTCCAGAGGGTTTCATTTGCAGTTTTCATGTTCAAATATCTTTTTGCCTGAAATTCCTAATTCATATATATTTTGAGCACAGTATTAGGTGAAACACTGAGAAACACCCTCGACAGGTCATCCAAGGCCAATGAGCTAATAGACTATCACATAAAAGAATCAATTTTACTCGAGCTCGCACTCACAGCTGAGTTTATTGTGGAGTTTTCACCAGAGCTCGATGTTGTTAGATAGCGGAGGGGAAATCCCGCCCACACAAGGAGAACATGCAAACTTCATGCAGATTTACCCAGGGAGAGTTTTGCTTTGAGAGAAAAGTGGAAACAGAGGGATGAGTCCACTTGAATTTTAAAGGCATCATTGCCTTTGAATATTGTACAAGCTAAAATCAACTTTATTTTGTGTTAGATAAAGAAATAGAGCCTTTAAATGAGGATGTTTTCTGACTTCAGTAGTCGGTAGAGTAGAAAGACTTTCCGGTCAAAGTCCTAATTTCCCATTATAGTTAATGGCGAGTGTTAATCTCCCTCCCTGATATAAATAGAACCTGCAGAGGTGCATAATGCATTAATATCCCTGCTCTTAATTTTGCTAGAATATAAATTATTTTTATCTAATGGTTCCATTTGAAATTAATTGCGTCTTCATTACAGATAAACCTCAACAAAGTAAAGCTGAGCTCAGAAATGGTCCCCAAATCATCCTCCACCTGTAGCATCTCTCCTGTGTCTTCACCTTTTACACAGAATTCAACTCAGCTGTGGTTTGTGGTGCTAGGTGTCACATACTGCCGCAACCTATGTAGAATGTAATCTACAAAATGAAGGATGACAACAGTTTACAGCAGTTTCTATTGCGCACATTTGTTTGTATATTCCCTTGTCTGTTCCCCTTCATTTAAGACTCAGCTGAACTCTATTTTTGTGTGTCTTTTTAAGGAATACTTTACTCCCCCAAATGCGTTTGTATATCAGTCAATCATCCTGCGTGACATTGACTTTGTGAAGAAAACTCAGTTTGTTCTTCGAAGAATCCAAAAAAAGGGGAACATTCTTGATGAATGAATGAATAACATTTGTTGGCAAACTATCACACAACTTGTTCAGTATATTTTAAGTCTGATTTATCGAGTCGTACGCTCAGTATTTCCCAAACAAACAGACAGCCCTTTCGGATGGGTGACCAAACTAAAAGTAAAACCTATCTATACTATCCTTAAAGCCAGACTCCAGTGAGGAAAAACCTCAATTTTACCTCACAAGACACAGGAGGTGCTGGCTCTCTGTTGTCTCTATTAGTTAGTTTGTGTTATTCTGTGACTTCAGTGTTTTAAATGGTTAGTTTGGACTCACCAAAGTAACACAATAACACAAATAAACTGCAGATTAAGGCAGCGGTAGACCAGCAGCTCCTGTGTTCAGTGAGGGAAAAAATACTGTTTTTGTCAATGGAGTCTGGCTTCGCAGAGAGCATGGATGAGTTTCACTTTTAGTTCAGGTCACAGTTGTAAAGGGCCGTCTGTTTGGGAAGTACCGAGCATATGACTGAATAAATGAGACTTGGATTATACTGCTTGAGTCATGTGATAATTTTGCTGATGTTAAACACGGTCGACTATGATTTCATATCGTCAAGAATTTTCTTGGTTTTCAGATTCTTCGTTTACTGGAGGCAATCGAGAAAAAACAAACATTTCTTCAGGAACTCATGGTTACACCTGTTGAGTAATTGACATACAAACAGTCATTTGGGGGTTGAAGTAGTCTCTTTAAGTAAAACCTTCATCAAACCCACAAGTAGCCTCTGTTTTTGTGATATTGCGCAGTTCTTAATTGGTTCATCCTCGCTACAAAAAGCAGGTTTGTTTTCATGTGTTCAACTTGAATTATAAAGTAAAATGAGTTGTTATAAAGGTTTTAAAGGTTTTTTTTAAATCAAGGAGCCAAGTACACAATTTAAAGTCTTACTAAAACCCTGACGTGTCTCCACAGTAAGCCCTGGTCTGAGTAAAGCAGATACATCAGCATGTACAGTAGGCTTACATCTGGCAGAGTGTAGAGCAATCATTTCACTGTGTGATGTTTGCAGCTGCCAGTAATAATTGTCAATGACCCATTTGAGTCAAATTGCCTCACCACCAGGACTAAAGATCATGTTTAACTCTGACTAAAAGCATCAGATCCAGTTTTTAGAGAAGGTATGGAAAACTCTGGATTCAAATGTAGGAAATGCGTCATCTTCGCACTTAATTTCAAGCAATGTCACACCCTTAAAGTGACCTTACTGAAACAGATGTGACACCCATATTTGGGTACTGATTCAGTGCTTACAAAACAAAGGTACAGATGTGTTTTTAATTCCATCGTGAAACTCGTCCTAACCACAGTGATACCTCTGTGTTCAGGACCATACCTGTGTGATAACATGATTTACACAGCTGCTACCTTACAAAGTATTTAATTTCCCATTACAAGGCAATAAGAGCAATCTGACCTTTGTCTTTTCATGTGCACGGTGGCTTCATGTTGACATTGTTCTAGCAGGTAATTTGGTAGGTGAAGTGGTTGTGTAGTTGCTGTTTTGAAATGTAATCACCTCACCTGCTGCTCTTTGCTTTGCCTGCTTTAATTAGCAGGCAGAGCTCCCTTTGTGTGCGTGGCTCAGTGAAACAATACAGCTAAATCACATCCTTTGTTTTAAGACATACAATGCATTGGGGCGACCGCTCTGAGTACTTCATGTCTTGTCTTTGGGAGGCATTAGCAGACCACCAAACTTTTCAAATAGCAAAACATTTTAAGTACAAGGTTTGTCTCCCTCTGCTGGACACCAAGCAGAACTACAAGTCTGCACAGGTGGGAATATGCCTGTGCATATGACATTGGCTCGTGTGACATTCCCGCCATGTTCACTGTCAGCGTAGCATCACTGTAGATGTAGGTGCAAGCTCTGCATTTCTGTCAGATTTTCATGTTATTTTGTCATCAGAGTTTCCCCATAGCTGTAAGACACAGTGATTATGTCTAGCCATGAGTTGATGTGTTTACTTCTTTTTGCTAGACATCCATAATACCACAGAATTAACTAATGTATGTCAGCCCGAGGCGAAGGAGAGATGTTATCTTATATTTATCAAAGATCAATGCTTTCCCTCTCTCAAATTCTGCTCAGTTGTTTTGGTGTTATCTTGCTGCCAGCTTGCTGTCTGCTTGTTCCAAATTTCCTTAAGTCTGAGACACCTGTGGCATGTCCCGCCCAAACTGCATTAAGCACCTGTCACTTACAGCTCATCTAATTAATCCACAATTTGACTCTTGGGGCTTTTTTTTTTAATCCACTGTCAAAAAATGTCAATTTCTTGGTGTCGAGAGCGATCAGTTGGTTAGCCAACGTTGGTGGCAGCTATTGTTGGCCTCATGTAGGTAGTAGGTATGACAGAGGGTAACAAATTAGAAAACAGTGAGGCTGTTGAGCGTGCCACAGTGCAGCTAAAGCATGTCATATTGACCCAGTGGATTTGAGCGTGGTGTCAGGTGCGTGTGGCTGAGTTGGACCAAGCTGTATTAACGTAGATGGCCACTAGAGGACAGCAACAAATGGTGTTTCACCAGGGGTGCTGCAATACAAATGAAATAAAATGTAATGAAGGTTTGGGTTATCAGTAGTGATTAACATGAGCTCAGTAATTTGGAGCTCATAGACTACTTTTCAGATTTATTTACTATTTACTTGTCATTTCATAAATTATAAAACCTTTATTCCTTTCCAGACCTTTGTATTGGATCCTAATTTATTGCCCATTAGGGGATAGGACATAATCAAAAGTGGTTCAAATATCCATCCTGACATTGGTTCTCTATATGCTAATATTGAGTTATAAAAACCCATATAAGGTGCATTGATCCCAACTCCCAGTACACATTTCAGAAGCAGATTCTCAGCTATCCTTAGTCAAAGTGCTCACTTTGTATACTTAATATGCATGAATCTATATGTATGTTGCATATATATGTATGTATTAACAGCTTTTCCAGCACTGCAAGGTCCATTACCATTAGTGTTTATGTTATGAAGGCCAGTGTACTCATTTTCTAATGCACACAGGGATTGTGTGTCTCATACGGAGTAATGATGCAGGTAACATGGGTTTAATTGTCCTGCCAGCAATATGACAAGCAGCCGAATTAGCATTGTGGGAAACCATTACTGTGACCTTTCGAAAATACTCCATTCTGTTTTTGTATTAAATCCAGTGTGCAGCCTGGTGGTTTCTAAGCGCAGTACAGCTACTAAACACACAAAGCTGTTATGTTTCCTGTGTGTTTTCTAATGCATTATACATGCTTTCACAAGAAAGGGCTGCGCAGGAATGTGTTGTGGGTGTGCAGTTTGGCAACAGAAGTGACATTTTGTTGTTGATTTTTAACAATAAATGTGGTTTTGCCAGTTGTGTTAATTACATTGACTTTATTTTTTTGAATTAAAAGGGATCAAGGCGGTGCATTTGTAAATGTCAGCGTATAATTGTCCAGAAACAGCAAACTAAAACATTCCACAGTAGGTAAGCATTGTATTTGTAGTGCATTGTGATACATAGGTTATCATTGTAGGCTCACCAGCTTACCAAGACACATTTTAGTGATAGCTAACAGATGTGGAAGATGTTTGGGTGACATTTCGAATTTGTAAAGCTGAGGTGTGTGGCGACTTTGATACCATACTGTTTGTAACCATTGCATGTGTGTAGCTACATGTAGTGTAGCAAAAGTTTCATTGCTGCAGCTAGCAGATAACTTAGGTGTAAATCCATACATAGGCACACAGCACAAGCAGTTGGATGAGTCATGAGAAGCCTCTATAATGTCTTATCTATTTATACATTTTGAAAATCTGACCTCAGGCACAGACATAAACAAGCATTTTATATTTCAGAAGTGCACCCAGCAGCAGTGCTTCTTCATCAAGTGCAGTGGCTCATGTGGGGTGTTGTTGCAGGTTACAGGAGGTGTGCTGTTAGTGAACGTGTGGTGCAGCAGGCCAGTCTTGGCGACATGGTGAAGGTCCAGAAGTCCACTAGGAGGAAGAGCTCTCACTGTCCCCGCAGACTGGAGGTACTGGAAAAAAACAACAACAATGCCTGGATGTTATTGTCCAGTCTCACTCCCTTCACTGTCAGATTGTGGAAAACACATTTCCTTTATGTTGATACCCAGCTCAGCCCCCACCTGTGCAATCTGTCATTTGAACAGCTGTAATGGTCAAACTGTACCTTCTTTGTGTCAGTGGAGATTCACTCTAATTTAAGGCTCTGCTGATGGGTATACAGTATATCCCACTTTACACATTCCACATTATTAAAAAGCCTCTGTCTGGATGTCTCTATCTTAGTTTACCAGACACTTTGCTCTCTATAGGCACATGAAACCACTAATTTTTAACCACCCAACTTAACCCATGTAACACTTAAGTCACAATAGGTGCGCGTAAAAACAACTTGACTCCCTGTCCCGGACCCCAGTGCTGTAGGCCCAAACATTTGTTTCTTTATTCAGGTCATTCACTTTATTTACTTACCAAATGCACAACAACTACAGAAGCAGTCGTCGTCATTAAAATTCTTGGTTCTCAGGCGCCCTCCAACAATACTAATTAAATATGTATAACAAGAAAATCGAACAAGTAAAAACAATCTGAGACATAAAATAGTGCAAGATAAAATACGGGGATAAAATATACCATAAATAAAATATGAAAGAATCTAAATTTGTGGTAGACAGTGACTGCAAGCGAATAAACACATGAATGTAGTGAAATGTTTGTATATAATGACAAGTATAAATACATATATATACACAGAGGAGTAAACAGCTAAGTGTATAAAAGATAAAAAACCTCTCATTGTGCCGAGGGAAATTACAGTGTGCCACAGCCTTTACCTGCATGAGGGGCTCAGAGGTTGTGCTCAAACAACAGGCAATACAATGAAAGTAATTTGTATTGAGATAAATTCACATCATCATATTCTAGTAAGCACCTCGGAGGCTGCAGTTGCTCGTTTAATGCATGCACTTTGTTCCGAAATTATTCATTACAGTCTGTCATGCAGTATTTGTTTTCAGCTAAGGATGATTATGAAAGTGATGAGATCATAGTGTGATGTAAGGTATCTTCCACTTCACAGTAACCAGTGCAGGGCCCGTTCAAAACGTGCCTGTTACAAATGGGCCGATCGCTTGGCCTCTGGTATTGCGCTCATCCAAAGATCGTCGTACTCAACATAGCAGCAACACACTCACCATGACATAGTTACGTCCTCTAGCAATGCTGCAGTATATGCGCCGGCAACGAAAGCGTTCATTCAGAGAGTTACATTGCTGATGTTTGAAAGGGTGACGTTTGCTACGATGCAACATCTCTCTGTTTGTTCTGAATGAACTGAGCAAGCATCAAAGATCGAGCTGAACCCAGCCTGCCATTCAGTGGTGTAACTGGATCTCCCCTCTCAATACACTACACAGTGTGTATATAATGCATGACTAATAAATTTGCCCAAAGATCTTGAGAGCTCACACTCGTCATTGCACTTCCGTCCATCCTCAGCAATACACCCACCAAGCGTGGGGTCGATCGGATGAACGGCTGTAGAGAAATTCGAAGGACAGATAAACACAGACGTACACAGAGACGCCTTCCCTTTTAGTCAGATATGGAAAATTAATCATGTTGAATAATCACTCATAGCAATCATAATCTGCCCTGTTTAATCCTGATTTCACCTGTCTGTTTTATTATTTGTTCCACCTTGTAGTTTTATTGAGAAGTAAGTGGAAATTAATGGCTAATCCACCTTCTCTAATCAGTATCCTCTCTCATACTTTGTGCTCAAACAATGAGGCATGAACAGTCGATATATTGACTGACTGATAAATTCATATGCTAACTAAATCGTGGCAGTCCCTGATGTTTCTTTTTACTTGTGCACTGGGCAAGAAGTTTTAGTTTATAATGGAATAGGTTCCATTTTATTTTCTATTTCCCCATCTCTTCACACTCTCCTGAAGAGCATGATTCGCTTGTTGAGATGAAGGTGTTTGTGTTCAATGGCTGTAATGGTTTGAGTGTGTTGCACCGCACCGATGGGGTTCGCTGAGCGCACGTAACATAATGTTAAGCGATATTATATGGTCGTTTGATCACGCCATGGTATGCACAGTGTGTTTGTGTCCAAGTGGCCCTCTCGTCCTGTGGTGATGTGCTGTAATGTGCCTGAACGCTGAAGTCATTCATCCCTCTTCAAGGGCAGCGGGGACACGCGGAGTGAGGGAGACCGACACAGAGAGAAAATGAGGATAAATTGGTGGGTGGGAGAGGAGAGAAGATTGGGGACTTGGAGAGAAAGGAGGTCTGGTCAGGAGACACACTCACGCAGACAGATGTATGTGTGCACACTGGAGGGTTTGTGTGGAGTCACTTATCTGCTGAAGGGTGGCTGTGTGCGACAAGGTTAATGTCCCCCCTAGAAAATCTCTGGGTGCTCAGGAGACATGACAACGACACACACATGCACACACTCTCTCTGTCACCTGCTGTGACCCCACGTCCTGCCCAGCAATGTGCATTTGTCTTTCAGAAAGGGGTGACGACTGAGTTTTTCTTTTTTTGTGATGGGCTCTCTTCCCTGTTAGATTTATGCCAGTATTTAGTTATGACAAAGTTTCATTTATATTTATATTGAACTTATTAAGCGTTTTTGACTTTGGCACCATCCAGTGGTAGTAGCAAGACAGCACACCCCGCAGACAACTTCCACCACCACCCACCCACAGATTCAACCCAGGGACAATGATAATATTTGACTGAAAGCAGCACATAGACTGCATAATTTCTTTACACATTTATGTCTCACTAAACAAACAAAGATGCTATAATGAAATAATAATCATAGACAAAGTACTTTTTGTTGATTTGTGTGCTGCTTTTTCTGTAGCTCATGTTCTCCTGTCTGTTTTGGTTCCACAGACTGGTGGTCAGACGGAGATGGAGGAGGTCCAGCCCCAGTCAGGCACCGAGCCTCCGCCACAGGAGGAGCCCCGAGGAGGAGATCCGTCCTCCGATGAAGCCCATCTCCAAACCTCTGCTTTAGTTTTGCCATCAGAGAGCTTGGACCAGAAGGAAACTCAGATGGACGTTGAGGAAAAGGGAGACTCTGCTGCCCAGCTCCAGGCCAAGCCGCTGTGGAAGCCCATTCCCCCTCTGCTGCCCGAGCCCCGCAGGAGCAGCACATCTGAGACCAGGGACCAGAGCTGCCAGACTGAGGAGCAGCTTCAGCAGACCAGCGCAGGCAGCCACGGTCATAACACAGGTGGGTGAGGATTTCTTTTCCTTTGCACTTCCTGCCGCTTTGATTCATCCACCTACAGGCTGAAACTGTCTGTCAGGCTCCTGCGTAGCTTCACTGCCAGAGCATCAGAGTATGGCTGACTGTGTGCTCCAAATCAAATCAAATGGTGTGTGTGCCCCCGAGGAAGAAATGGAAACCAGAGGAGGTGCTGCATTTAGTGTGCACTGCTGGTTAGACTAACATGCAAAACATTTTGTGAAAGTTTTATCTGGAACTTATTTAATTACACCAGCTCTAACATAACTATTGTCACGTTTTACAGTTGTCTGTTTGAACTTATGCACTGATAAGGTGCAAAAGAAAGTTGATGAATTTTTTTTTCTTATTTCCTTACATTTCACCGTCATAAACGTTGTAGTCTCAGTACAAGGCAGCATTTAGACACACATATAGGGGCCGCAGGATACACAAGCACAGAGTCTGACTACTGTTTGCAGCAACAATATAAAACTCCAACTTGCGATATAAAACTATCATCGAACGGCAGAAGTAGGAGTTTTGTTGTGTTGGGAAAAGACTGCGGTGCCCAAGGCTGGCCTCCACTTTGCTGCGATCCAAAAAACAGTTGGCTACGATGTTATGTTTCTTAAGCCTAGGTCAGACCAATGATTTGCGATGAGACAAAACCATTTTAGAACGTTGCAGAGAAAAGTTGCAGTGGCCAGTCTGAGCTCGACTCAAGCTGGCTGATGGGGCCACCTGCAACTCAGCTGATCAAATTGCGGTGGCTAAAATTAGGTGGCTAATAAAATGCTTTTGTAGTTTGAAGAAGTCATCTTAAGATGGTTATATGTGCAATACTCCCAAACAGAGAGGTGTTTTTTCTTTGTTACTGCTCCTGTAGCGTTATCCCCACCACCTGCAGTTGCTATCCTTCCTAGCTCGGCTGCCTGTTTCACCTGTAGAGACTGACCTCTAGTGGCATGTGCTGTGCACTACATACATCTATTGCATCTCAGCATATCAGTGTAGTAGAATGAGGAGCATCTGTATTTCTGATGGTGCTGAAAATCATACCTTCTGGATTTCTAAATACCACATCGACGTGATGTCAGTGTTTTCCATTATGACATCCGCCAGAGTTTTGCTGAGAGCTGGAGGACGATTCTCTGTGCAGAAGAAACGCTGCACTGAGTTAGTAGGAATTTGGTCCTAACTAAAAAAGGAATTTGCTGGCTCGAAATTAGGCCACACTTATCTGTGTCTCTCAGGTTGATCTTCTGAAACCACAGGCTGCCTGTACTGCCAATTTTGTGTCATTCCTTCAGTTGACAGCCAGTGTGTTTTATGTTTGACCCTAAAGCCAAGCAAGCCATTGATATTGGATTATAAAATGTAATACATGGCTGCTAAAGCTGCCATTATGATGATGTAATGTTTTCTGCAGATTGCTGACAGGTTTGTCTCCTTCCTTGGCTGCCTGTGTTCCTCTCTGCTTTTTCTTCATCTTAGTCCTCCTTCTTCCTTTAAAGCTTTCCTTGAAAACAGACGTAGATATCTTGATTCAGATCTAAATACTATGAGTTAATTTCTAACAGTGCCGCCAAAGAAAGAGTCGCACGTTCCTCGCTAAAGGAAGCTGTTTGCATGAAACAACGCTCCTGATTGGCCGATCTTTGACCCTGTTGCAAGGGGGGAGGGGGGGAGGGGGAGGTCGGCCGGTCGCTGACCTGC